GGAGTCTCACTCTGTCACCCAGGCTGGAGTACAATGACGGGATCTCAGCTCACTGCAACCTCAGCCTACTGGGTTCAAGCCATTCTCCTGCCTCAGCCTTCTAGGTAGCTGGGACTACAGGCATGCACCACCATGCCTGGCTGATTTTTGTATTTTTAGTAGAGATGGGGTTTCACCATGCTGGCAAGGCTGGTCTCGAACTCCTGACCTCAAGTGATCCACCCGCTTCAGCCTCCCAAAGTGCTGAGATTACAGATGTGAGCTACCATGCCCAGCAATCCTCCAATTATTTGCAAAGTTTTCACTTACAGTAGAGCCTAGCAGGGAAATGAAGACTATACTGGACAAGAAAACTAGAAATCTGGATTTTAGCACCTAATCTGCCCCTGAGTTCCCACATGCCTACTGCCCCATCCTGGATACCCTGCCCTGTAGGTGACAACATGTCTCTGAGCCTCAATTTACTTAACTGTAAAAATAGAAGACTTGGATTCTGATCCCTAAATGCCTTTAACTGAATTGTTCTGTATTTAAACTTTGGGTAGAAAGTTGGAATATGGATAGTACTTTTTTTTGTAACCCATGCCAGAACTCCCTCCTGTTCCTGGGCCTGGGAACAACCTGACTTAACTTTGGATTGGTTCAAATTCAGAGTAGTCAGCTTTCACTTGATAAAAATATTTTTCTCACCAGGTGCAGAGGCTCACACCTGTAATCCTAGCACTTTGGGAGGCCAAGGTGGGCAGATCACTTGAGACCATGAGTTTGAGACCAGTGTGGCCAAGATGGTGAAACCCTGCCTCTACTAAAAATATAAAAATTAGCTGGGTGTGGTGGTGCATACCTGTAATCTCAGCTACTTGGGAGGCTGAAGCAGGAGAATCACTTGAACCAGGGAGGCAGAGGTTGCAGTGAGCCAAGATGGTGCCATTGCACTGCAGCCTGGGGGACAAGGCCTGTTTCCAAAAAAAAAAATTTTTTTTCTCACAACTGAGTCATTAGTCAGAGAAGATGGCTGCCTTTGCAGCCAAGAAACTGATCAATACTGCCTGGATCCTCTTATAGCTATAAGCAGGGGAGAGGGATTGTGAATTCACAGGAGGTCAAAGTGGAAAAATGACACTTGCACAAAGAAGCAGTGGTGGTAGAGAAAATTCAAATTTTCTCTGAATGGCACAAAAGTATACTTTTTCCTAGACAGTCAGAAACTCTGGGAGATCTTTGACCCTTATCCTTCTTTTTTCTGCAGCATATGACCCATATCTACCTCAGACATATCCTAGTTTTCCAACAGCTGTCTTCTGGTGCCTACTAGAGAATATCCCTTCCCGGATAGCCTGCTCAATAGGAGCATCAAAATTGTGGTGCTTGGGTGACGGCATGTAGGAATGACAGGGAGGCATTGCCTTGGACTATGTATTTGGTGGAGATGAACAGAAGGCAGTAGAATCTTGGGCCACCTGCCCCCACCAAAAGGGCAAGTCTCCCAGTGTTTGGGTACTTAATTAGCCATGATGAATGACTGAAGGTCTGACTGCGAACAGGCTGTGAGAGAGAAGGTGAAAGAATTTCACTGAGAAGAATGCTGCCAGTTGAGTTGAAGGGGTTGGTGAGATCCCAGAACCCATGAGTAGACTGTTGGTGCAGGAAACACAGAGAGACAGGCGCTTGTGGTTGAAAGGAGGATTTAGGTAGTTGAAACTGGCCCAATGAGGCCGGGCGCGGTGGCTCAAGCCTGTAATCCCAGCACTTTGGGAGGCCGAGGCGGGTGGATCACGAGGTCAAGAGATCGAGACCATCCTGGTCAACATGGTGAAACCCCGTCTCTACTAAAAATACAAAAAATTAGCTGGGCATGGTGGTGCGTGCCTGTAATCCCAGCTACTCAGGAGACTGAGGCAGGAGAATTGCCTGAACCCAGGAGGCGGAGGTTGCGGTGAGCCGAGATCGCGCCATTGCACTCCAGCCTGGGTAACAAGAGTGAAACTCCGTCTCAAAAAAAAGAAAAAAAAAAAAAGAAAGAAACTGGCCCAATGGGCAGTAGTTCCGAGAGATGGAGTAGCAGTTCTCTCCACTGCCCCAAATTCACTGAACAGGTGGCTCGGCTGCCTGGGGAAAAGAAAACTGCAACTCAGCATGCTCTCTACCTACCTGGAATCCCCTCCCCATGGGGGGAGATGTATAGCTTTCCCTGCTGCTTCCATCATCTGCCTCCCCCTACTGCTTTCTCCTGGGCCTTAGCTAAGAATTTTTTAGGAAAATCAATGTTTTCCAAGACTTGCATGACCTGTGAAGGAGAAAAAGTTAACTTAGGGTCAAACAAGACAATCCTTCGACCCAAGAAACTGTCCTCTTTCCAAGAGGTCCCACAGAAGGAAGTCAAAGATAAGGAAGGGTAGCATAAGTTGTTGTCTGTACCTTGTTGTACGAGTCTGGTGGTCAGCTTCCTCACTCACCATTTCATTGGAGAATATGAGGCCAGTAATGGTAAGTGCAGCTGCTGAGTCTCTTCTCACCATTACTCTCTTCAAAACACAGGAAACATCCCATGTGGAGAAATAAAAACTCCCTTAAGCTTTTCCTCCATCCTCTCCCATCCTGGAATAACTCCAATTTATTCCTGCTCTTTTCTTCCAGTCTTTGCATCCGTTCTTCAGATTAGGTCACAGCATTAAAAGGGGTGAGCCATCCAACCCAGAACCTTCTAAGGAAGGAGCGAGAAATTTCTCCAGATCTCCAAGAGCCTCTCTCCCCCAGCAAATCCACCCAATGATGTGAAGTTAGAGGAAAAAACCCTCTGATAGAGTGAGGATGGGGTTAAGCAAACCATCACAGAGGCAACTGGTGCAACAGCAACACTTCCTAACAAGTAAGAGCTAGGCCTATATGGAAAATGACACAACTGGCAGTGACATATGTGGATGTTGAGACTTGCTGAAATGAAAGCTATAGCCACAGCTTTCTTTACTTGGTAGAGCCCTGGAGGCCATAATTACTCAACAGAGCTGCAGGCTGCTGTTTTACTATAGACATATTTCTTCAGTTTATGTGATTTTTAGGTGACTGAAATTTTCTCTGAATGGCAAAAAGTATACTTTTTCCTAGACAGTCAGAAAGGGCTGTCTAGGACAGACATAGGACATAAATATATATTTTCTCTGTATGTGTTTCTATCTATTGTGTGTGAATATGTATCTAGTGTGCTTATGTGTGTGTATTTAGAATATAGTGTGTGTATGGCTATGACAGAAAATATTTTTAGCTAAGTTGCATTTAGAGTTGCTCTCCTGGGACTCTAGGAGTGATATCAATAATTTTTTCTAGGAAGCGATTAAATAGGCCCCAGGAATTATTTTTCTCAAATTTTCTTTTTCTTTTTGTTTTCAGACAGAGTCTTACTCTGTCGCCCCTGCTGGAGTGCAGTGGCCAATTATGGCTCACTGTAGCCTCAACATTCGGACTCAGGTGATCCTCTCATCTCAGCCTCCCAAATAGCTGGGACTATAGGTGTGCACTACCACACTTGGCTATTTATTTTTATTTTTATTATCTTTTTGGAGATAAAGTCTCACTCTGATGTCCAGACTGGAGTGCAGTGGCGTGATCTTGGCTCCTTGCATCTCCTGCCGCCCAGGTTCAAGTGATTCTCCTGCCTCAGCCTCCCGGGTAGCTGGGATTATAGGTGCCTGCCACCGTGCCTGGCTAATTTTTGTAGTTTTTAGTAGAGAAACACACTTATACATGTTACCTAGGCTGGCCTTGAACTCCTGACCTTGTGATCTACCCACCTCAGCCTCCGAAAGTTCTGGGATTACAGGTGTGAGCCATGGTGCCCAGCCAATTTTTAAAAAATATTTTGTGGAAATGGGGTTTTGCCATGTTGCCCAGGCAGGTCTTGAGCTCCTGGGCTCAAGTGATCTGCCTGCCTCAACCTCTCAGAGTGCTGTAATTATGGATGTGAGCCACCACACCTGGATTTTCTCAAGTTTTTTAGTTTGGTATGTTAGCAAGCCGGCAGAAGATTTGTTAGCACTGCCGAAAGACAAGAGAGGTACTGTGCTAGAAGCCTCAGGGGCAAAAGTCTATTGGTGGCCTCCCAACAACCAGGCTCAGCTAATCCTCTCCCTTAGAAAGCTTTCCTTTCTTGGACCTTGGCATGGTCCAATCATAACACCAATAACCACTGAATTTTCTATGACAGATACGTGAGAAAGCTAACTATTTAAAGACCATTTTGGGAAGCATCAAGCTAGCCCTTATATCCCAAATGTATAGCCAGGTATCCAACCCTGTGACTAGACCAAAGGCACAGTATTGGTGGCACCAGTAGAAAGGGAAGTAAGCCTTCAAAAAAATCAGGTTAAGCTGAATCCTTATATCCCTCCTTTCCTGAAGGACGTATCTCTCTCAGGTGCCCTGTTCAACTCTACCCCTACAGCAATTTCTTTACTGGACATTAAAAACTTATCCATTTCCTGGCTATTAATGGATTGTGGATCCTTTTCCCACTCAGGCATCTATTTCAGTTCTGAAGAGTCTTAAAGATTGTGTGTCGAGCTCCCTCAACTTTCATCGAGAAAATGGAATTTCATAACATGGAAGGGGTTTGCTAAAGTTATACAGCAAGTTGTAGAACTGGACATGTCTCCTGATTCCTTGATTTGTGGTTACTTTATTTTATTATTATTATTTAAGACGAGGTTTCACCATGTTAGTCAGGCTGGTCTTGAACTCCTGACCTCAGGTGATCTGCCCGCCTTGGCCTCCAAAGTGCTTGGATTACTGGCATGAGCCACCATGCCCAGCCTGATTCATGATTTCTACTACAAGGTTGTTCAACTTGTGGCCTGCAGGCCACATGCAGCACAGGACAACTATGAATGTAGCCCAACAAAAATTAGTAGACTTTCTTACAACATTGTGAGATTTTTTTTGTGATTATATCAGCTATCATTAGTGTAGTTTATGTGTGGCCCAAGACAATTCTTCTTCTTCCAATGTGGCCCAGGAAAGACAAAAGATTGGACACTCCTGTACCACAACATAGTGAGTCTTAAACTTTGTTCTATCATGTATATTATATTCCCTCTGGCTTTCCATGGATGAGGAACAGATCTATCTCCAAGTTTAGGATACCTCCTCTGTGCCTTTACATCTAAGAACTGCCTCTATTTGTCTCCTCTTTGGATTACTTGTATATATGTCATACTGGTTTCAGCAAAAAACTAATTTTTTTGTCAAGGTCTCAAGTGCCCAATACCAAGAAAGAGAGGGCTTTCTCAGTGGCAGCCTTGGAAAGGGGCCTTTCCCTATGTAACTTTTCTCATGGATCCCCTAGGAATTTAATACACTGGCACCTGGAAGAACAACTGGTTCTAAAATTACAGGAAGTGTAATGGTATTTCAAAGCCACATATAGAGGTCCAGATACCTCAATATTAAAACTAAGAACTGAGAATGAGAGCCAGAGGTTCTAAATGGGGAGCAGAAGTATTTCTTTTCTTTTCTTTTTTTTCTTTTTTTTTGAGACAGAGTCTTGCTTCATTGCCCAGGCTGGAGTTCAATGGCACGATCTCGGTTCACTGCAACCTTCACCTCCCAGGTTCAAGCGATTTTCCCTGCCTCAGCCTCCTGAGTAACTGGGTTTACAGGCGCCCACCACCACGTCTGGCAAATTTTTGTATTTTTAGTAGCGATGGTGTTTCGCCATGTTGGCCAGCCTGGTCTCAAACTGCTGACCTCAGGTGATACACCCACTTCGGCCTCCCAAAGTGCTGGGATTACAGGTGTGAGCCACCACACTCAGCCGAATTCTTGCTTGAAACCTTCTCTTCCAGCTGGGCACAGTGTCTTACACTTATAATTCTAGCACTTTGGGAGGCCAAGGCAGGTGGGTCACCTGAGGTCAGGAGTTCGAGACCAGCCTGGCCAACATGATAAAACCCCATCTCTACTAAAAAATACAACCCTCAACAAACCAGTCATTAAAAGACCATATCTCAAAATAATGGTAGCCATTTATGAGAAACCCACAGACAGCATAAGGCTGAATAGACAAAAGTTGGAAGCATTACCTCTAAGAACTAGAACAAGACAAGGATGCACACTCTCACCCCACCTATTCAACATTGTTCTGAAAGTCCTAGCCAGAGGAATCAGGCAAAAGAAAGAAATAAAAGGTATCCAAATAAAAAAAAAGAGGAAGTCAAATTCAAATTATCTCTCTTTGCTGATGATATAGTTCTATACCTAGAAAACCCTAAAGATTCCCCCCAAAGAGTCCTAGACCTGATAAATGACTTCTTCAAAGTCTCAAGATACAAAATAAATGTACAAAAATCTATAGCATTTCTATATACCAATAACGTTTGAGCTGAGAACCAAATGAAGAGTGCAATCCCATTCACAATACACACACATACGCATGCACACACACACACACACACAGGAATACACCTAACCAAGGAGGTGAAAAACTCCATCAGAAAAACTATAAAACACTGCTGAAAATCACCGACAACATAGACAAGTGGAAAAGTATTCCATGCTCATAGGTAGGAGGAATCAGCATCATTGAAATGTCCATACTGCCCAAGGCAATATGTAGATTCGACACTATTCCTGTCAAATAACCAATGTAATTTTCACATAATCAATAAAAACCTATTCTAAAATTCATATGGAACCAAAAAAGAGCTGGAATAGCCAAGCCAATTCTATGCAAAAAAAATGAAGCCGGAGGCATCACACTATCCAACTTCAAACAATATTACACGGCTACAGTAACCGAAAACAAATGGTACTGGTAGAAAAATAGACACATGGACCAATAGAATATAATAGAGAACCCAGAAATAAAGTCACACAGCTACAACCAACTGATCTTTGACAAACTCAACATATATAAACAATGGAGAAAGTATACCCTATTCAATAAATGGTGTTGGGAAAACCAGCTAGCCATATGCACAAGATTGAAACTGGACCTCTAGCTGTCAACATATATGAAAATTAATTCAAGATAGATTAAATACTTAAATATAAGATCTAACATTATAAAAATCCTGGAAGAAAACCTAAGAAATACTCTCCTTGATATAGGTCTAGGCAAAAAATAAAAATAAAAATAAATAAAAATAACTAGGTCCTTAAAAACAAATACAATAAAAACAAAAATTGACAAGTGGGACCTAATCAAACTAAAGCGCTTCTGCACAGCAAAAGAAATTACCAACAGAGTAAACAGAAAAAATGGGACAAAATATTTACAAACTATGCATCTGGCAAAGGACTAATATCCAGAATCTATAAGAAACTTAAACAGCTGGGTGCGGTGGCTCACACCTGCAATCTCAGCACTTTTGGAGGCCGAGGCAGGCGGATCACAAGATCAGGAGTTTGAGACAAGCCCGACCAACATGATGAAACCCCATCTCTACTAAAAATACAAAAATTACCCAGATGTGGTAGCACACACCTGTAGTCCCAGCTACTCAGGAGGCTGAGGCAGGAGAATTGCTTGAACCGGGACCCAGGAGGTGGAGGTTTCAGTGAGCCAAGATGGTGCCACTGCACTCCAGCCTGGGCTACAGAGCGAGACTCCATCTCACACACACACACACACACACACACACACACAGTTCAGGCCGGGCACGGTGGTTCACTGTTGTAATCCCAGCAATTTGGGAGGCTGAGGTGAGTGGATCACGAGGTCAAGAGATTGAGACCATCCTGACCAATATGGTGAAAACCCATCTCTAATTAAACTACAATAATTAACTGGGCATGGTGGCACACACCTGTAGTCCCAGCTACTCGGGAGGCTGAGGCATGAGAATTGCTTGAACCTGGGAGGAGGAGGTTGCAGTGAGCTGAGATTGTGCCACTGCACTCCAGCCTGGCGACAGAGCAAGACTCCATCTCAAAAAAACAAAACAAAACAAAACAAAACAAAACTTCAACATCACTAGTCATCAGAGAGATACAAATCAAAACCACAATGAAATATCAGCTCACACAAATCATAATGGCTATTAGTTATTAAAAAGTAAAAAAAAAATCAGATACTGGTGAAGTTGTAAAGAAAAGGGAATGCTTATACACTATTGGTGGGGATGTAAATTTGTTTAGCCACTGTGGAAAATATTTTGGAGATTTC